CGTTCCCCCCGGTTCTCCTGCGTGCGGCCCCCGAGCGCCCAGAATGAGGCCGGCAGAACGAGGGGTATTTGTTTTTAATCTCACTTAATTTAGTATCATGACTGGACAGTGCAGCTGTCGACGAAAGCGTCTCAAAATTAGAATTTTCAGCGGGCTAGTTACAACGCATCTTGGCTCCCAGTCCTCCCTGGGATTGGGGAAGCCTGAGGGTCAACCCGCTCCTTGGGCATTTAAGCGGTCTTGTAACTGGGTTACTGATACTCAACAGATGTTTTAACTTTCTGTACAACAAAACAAACGTTTATAGCCAGACACAAAAGTCCATTCAGTTGACTGAAATGTGTAATTTTTTCTAAAATAAAAAATAAAAACACACAAGCTGTGCCAACAATAAGCACAAGTTATCTGTAGAACCATGTACTGCACAGCTTGTAGCATATATATTTTCTCTGTGCTCCTCTTCCTTCCTGGTGATGATAGTTGAGGAGGCAGCTGACCTGTCCTTGTAGAACCCAGGAGATCCCTGAGGAGCCTGAAGATGTCTTTCTTGGGAGAAAGAAGTTGGATCTCAGAGAAGCTTGTGACATTGAGCATGGGCCCAAACCTGAACTTGTGTGGCCTTGGCTGCCAGCCTGATAGGTGTCACGCAGAAGAGATGAGTCCGATTCTCTGTATGAATCAACAGGATGCTCTGAGAAAGAATTCCGGCCACACAAAGGAGCTGTTGGAAATTAAGAATGAAGAAGAGCTGAAAAATCTCCCAGAAACAACAAAAAGACAGAGATGGAAAACAGGAGAGGAAAGAAAAGCTATGGGCTTGTTCAGGAGGTCCAATGTGGAAGATAAAGTAGTTTCAGGAAAGGAAAGCAAAGAAGGCAGGGAAGAAAATTGTCAACAAAATTCAAGAAAATTAGCAGAACTAAGGGGCATGAGCTTCTGGGCTAAGAGGCAGAGTGCCTAGTACAGTGAATGAAAGTGGGCCCACAGCAACTGAGCAAATGACGTCAGGATATTTCAGAACACTGGGGTATAGAAGATCCTAAACTGCACACCCAATATCTCACTTGGACATCCAAGAGAATCCAACAACTGACAGGGCCCCACCTGAACTC